GGACGCTGGGCTCACAATTCAGGTTCCCTGCTCGGCCGAAGGACCGAGCAGGCCCTGGGCTCCTCAGCAGAGCATGTTCAGACCCGGGTCCCGGCCTCCTCTGCACCCCGTGCCTGGTGGGGAACGCCAGCGGCTCCCCCACAAACACCTTTGGTCGTGCTCCCATCTGAGGAGCCCCCCAGGTAACACGTGCATCTGAAAGGCCCTTTGGGCCCTGACCGGTTTGGCTCAGTGGATAGAGCGTCGGCCTGCGGACTGAAGGGTCCCGGGTTTGATCCCGGCCAGGGGCATGTGCCTGGGTTGCGGGCACATCCCCAGTCAGGGGTGTGCAGGAGGCAGCTGATCGATGTTTCTCTCTCATTGATGTTTCTAACTCTCTATCCCTCTCCCTTCCTCTCTGTAAAAAAATCAATAAAATATATTTAAAAAAATAAAAATAAAAATAAAAGGCCCTTTGGGGGCCAGCCAGCTGGGCAGGAGCGGAGAGCCCAGGATGCTCAGTCCCTCCTGTGCTCTGGCTCCGGAAGGACAGCATTTTTCTGAGGATTTTTTAAGGTTTGGGTTTTTTCTTTAAGTTTTTCATTTGGCAGCGATCAGGTTTATAACGACCTGGAAGAGGTTTCCAGGTGCCAGTGGTGCAGGGTGGGATCTGAGTGCTGCCGGCAGGCAGAGGGGGAGTTGGAGGGCAAACCCCGCGTGACCATGATGTGCCCAGAACGGAGAGAAGAGGCCCAGGGCCCCTTCTTGGGCAGCTTGAGAGGCCGAGAGACTCGCTCATGCCCCGAATCCCGGCCCCTCTGTTAGGGGCAGAGGTAGACTATTGGGGGCAGCCATACTTATAGGAAATACTAACCAGGCTCTGCTAACCGCGGTTGCTGTGTTCTGATTGCAGAAGGCACGCCCTAGCCTGGCTGGGAGTTGCACGTGGGACCTGGGAGCTCACCTGGAAATGCGGCCCATCCTCCCATAACAGGGAGCTGCTTTCATCATGGAAAGATGAACCACCAGAGCCCCCGCCCTGTGCCTACCCGGGGCCTTGCACACCCCCAGCGCTTACCTGTGAACTGCCCATTTTGCACACCCATTCTTATCCCTCTTGCCCACTTGCCCACATAATCTCTGTCCGACCCCTGATAAGCAGCCAGCTTGTGGGGGGCGGAGAGTAGGTCTCTGCGGGTGACCTGCGCTCTCCATGCTGCCGGAGTTATTAGACCAACGCCCAGATAGGACTCAACCTGTCTCCGCTGAACCGGCTCCGGTACTGACAGGCAGCCCGGGCCCCATGGTGACCAGGTTTCACCTTCACCAGACAGGAGCCTGGTCTCCTGCCTGCAGACCCGGTGCCCTGACCTTTGGCCACCGCCAGCCAGGGCTTAGCCAGTCGGGTTCCGGCAGGAAGAGGGGCCGAGCCGGTCTGCGTGGCCCAGGGCGGAGCAGTGAGGATGTCGCCTCGCTGCTGGGTCCACAGGCTGTGCCTCCCGGGCTTCTCCGGGGGCCTCTCACATTTGGGGAGAGAGAGGAGGAAAAGCTGGCATCTCTCTCGCCTGCTGTGGACAATTCCAGAGCCCCTCTGAGCTGGGCTGATCTGACACTCCTGTGCAGATGGGGAAACGGAGGCTACAAGAGACTTCAGAGACTTGCTCAGGCCCTCACCGCCATGCCAGCCTGGCATCATTCTGTTCTCGGTGCCTGTGAACACGTCAGAGGCTCCTAGACCTGTGTCCTCCGTGTGAAAATGCAGGTTCCTGGGCCCTGGGCCGGAGGGGATGCCCTGGATTCTATGTCCCTTGTGTCTTTTTTTTTTTTTTTTTGTCCTCACCCGAGGGTTTATTTTTTAAATATATTCTTATTGATTTGAGAGAGGAAGGGAAAGAGGGTGAGAGAGAAACATCAGTGAAGAGAGAGAATCATCGAGTGACTGCCTCCTGCACGCCCCACACTGGGGACTGAGCCTGCAATCCGGGCATGTGCTCTGACCAGGAATCGAACCCTGACCTCCTGATTCATAGTTTGACGCTCCACCGCTGAGCCACGCCGGCCGGACTATCGTTATTGATTTGAGAGAGGAAGGGAGAGAGAAACATCGTTCAGTTGTGTCCCATACATGCCCCAACTGGGGATGGAACCTGAAACCTAGGTGTGCGCCCTGACCAGGACTGGAACCCACAACCTTCTGATGTTTGGGACGCCCCAACCACTGAGCCACCTGCCAGGACAGTGTGTGTTTCTTTACCAGCATCTCAGCTGACCGTGGAGTGTGGCGAGGCTTGGGCTTGGAGCAGTGTCCTCGCCCTCACCCTGTGGGCAGTCTCAGAGGCGCAGTGGTGGTTGGGGGGTAGGGGGGAGGTGTGTCCTGGTTCCCAGGCCTCAGGTCAGGGACTGACATGGGTGCTGGGGGGCGGGGGGTGTTCACGTCCTGCGTGTGGAACAAATGAGTACTTTGCAGAGGGATCTGGCGGGCTGAGCGGGAAAATCACTCAGACAGTGGCTCCCGGACACCCATGCGGCACATGGTCATTTTGAAAGGACAATGAGAGACAATTTCTCATCCTTTCTCTTTCCAGATGCATTTCCCATGAGTCACTCCAAGCGCGGGCGTGTGATGTCCCCCGGGGACTCACGGCACCTGGGTCAATCCCGACTGAAGGCTGAGGCCCCGGCCGGCCGTGGACACGCAGGATCCTAATGAACTGCTGGTGGGGCAGAGAGCTCAGCCTCTCAGACAGGAGAGCAGTGGCGGAGACAAAAGGGTTTCATGCTGTGCTCCCAGCTCACCTGCACTCACTCTCCTCCTCCTCCTCCCTGCGGGGCCCCAGGTCCAACCCGAACAGGAGACTTGGGCTGTGGATTCAGACTTGGGCTCCACGTCAGGGTCCCTACTTGCTGGCTGGCTGTGCTTGTGTGAGCCTCAGTCTCCCCATCTGTAAAATGGAGCCGATACTCCATGCTGCAGGGCAAAGGGGGTGACTGCCTGTCACACCTGTCCCAGTGCCCGGGCTCTGCTGGCATCCACATCTCACTCCCTTCATTGCTGGGCATGGTGCCACTGTCTCCTCCATTTTTCTCTTTTGGGGACACATGAAGCAAGTAATTCCTTTTCTGCATCTTTGATTCTTTAGTAAATTTTGTGTTTGTGTAAAAATGGCTTTGCCTGCTGTTTTGGCTCCAGGGTTGGAGCGGCGGCCTGTGGACTGAGGGGTCATGGGTTCGATTCCCGGTCAAGGGCACCTACCTCCATTGCAGGATCCCCAGCCCTGGTCAGGGCCGTGCAGGAGGCAACCAATCGATGTGTCTCTCGTGTCGATGTTTCTCTCTCCCTCCCTCCCTTCTACTCTCTCTAGAGATCAATGGGGAAAATATCCTTGCGTGAGGATTTTAAAAAAGGCTTTATAAAAGGGCTTTTATAACCCATCTATCCCCCCAAAAATCTTAGCTCGATGATCAGTCAGGTAATTTAGGACAAGATTTATGCATTCCGCTCACAATGACTCCCCTAACTGGGAGCACCCCCCATTTCCTCAACCAATCCAGGCTGTGCGCACACATCCTCCAGGGGCCCTCACAGCTGACTCCCGCAACCCTGGCAGAGGTGCCTGCCTGGATCTGCTCAGCACATGGTGTGACTCCTGCATTCTGGGCCTAGGCTCCTGCACAGCTTCAGCTCCCTAAAGAGGCCGGGCCTGTGTCCCCACCATGTCCCTGTGTCCCCCATGTCTCTGTTCTCCCCGCTGTGCCCCCCACTGTGCCAGCACAGCCTTCAGATCTCCCTCCTGGCTTATTAGCTGAGCAATGTGATCACTGATAAAATGAAGCTGTGAATCAAGGGCTACTAGCTTTTGGGGGGTCTCTGTCTAAACTCAGCTAGTGAAGACAATGAATGGACTCTGGCAAGACCCCAGCACGTGGATGGATCCATCCTGAAGACACCCCCCCCCCCCCCCACACACACACACAGCGAGGAGTGTGCGGGGTACCAGGGGTCTCAGGGCCCCGAGGACCGCCCCCAAAGCAGGGTGTGCGTTACCTGGGCTCTCAGCGCCCCCTCCCCGAGGGTGCCTCCAGCGCGGGGTGTGCATACTTGGGCTCTCAGCCCCCCTCCCCGAGGATGCCCCCAGCGCGGGGTGTACATACCTGGGCTCTCAGCCCCCCTCCCCGAGGACCCCCCCAGTGCGGGGTGTGCGTTACCTGAACCCCCTCCCAGCGTGGGGTGTGCGTTACCTGAACCCCCCCTCCCAGTGCACGGTGTGCGTTACCTGGGCTCTCAGCCCCCCCAGGGAGCCCCCCAGCACTGGGTGGGCGTTACCTGGGCCTCTCAGCCCACCCCCAGGAACCCCCCAGCGCATGATGTGGCTTTACCTGGGCTCTCAGCGCCCCCCAGGATGCCCCGAGCGCGGGGTGTGCATACCTGGGCCCTCAGCCCCCCTCCCCCCAGGACGCCCCCAGCGCGGGGTGTGCGTACCTGGGCCCTCAGCCCCCCCCCCAGGACGCCCCCAGCGCGGGGTGTGCGTTACCTGGGCTCTCAGCCCCCCTCCCCGAGGACCCCTCCCAGCATGGGGTGTGCGTTACCTGGGCTCTCAGCCCCCCCTCAGGAGCCCCCTAGCGCGGGGTGTGCGTACCTGGGCCCTCAGCGCCCCACCAGGAGCCCCCCAGCGCGGGGTGTGCGTTACCTGGGCCATCAGCACCCCCCCAGGAGCCCCCCAGCGCGGGGTGTGCGTCACCTGGGCCCTCAGCCCCCCTCCCCGAGGAACCCCCCAGTGCGGGGTGTGCGTTACCTGGGCTCTCAGCGCCCCCCCAGAAGCCCCCCAGTGCGGGGTGTACATACCTGGGCCCTCAGCCCACCCCCCAGGATCCCCCCAGCGCGGGGTGTGCGTACCTGGGCCCTCAGCCGCTCCACCTCCTCCGACAGGCTCTGCCGCTCTTGCAGGAGGTCGTTCTGCTTGCTGAGCAGCTGCACCAGTTGCTGGGCGGCGGCCTGGCTGTGCTGGTCCAGCTGCTGCAGCCTGGAGACGTGGAGAGAGACCAGGTGGGTCAGCCGGCCAGGCCTGAGTATCCAGGGACAGTAGCAGCAGCGGTTCTCAACCTGTGGGTCGCGACCCCTTTGGAGGTCGAATGACCCTTTCACAGGGGTCGCCTAAGACCGTCCTGCAGATCAGATATTTACATGACGATTCATCACAGTAGCAACATGACAGTGATGAAGTAGCAACGAAAATAATGTTATGGTTGGGTCACAACATGAGGAACTGTATTTAAAGGGCCAGAAGGTTGAGAACCACTGGGACCCTGAGGGGTGACGCCTCAGCCGGAGGGGCCCGGGCGGGGCATTAGGTCAGTCGAGGGGACCGGTCCCAAGTGTGAAAGGACATCAGCAGCCCTCAGGACTGGGAAACACAGGTAAGGCGGATGGGCAGAAAGCGGAACCTTACACTCAGAGCGCAAAGGCCAGGGCCTGCATGCCTCCCCTGGCAGCCGGGACCCCCCGGCAGACACCAGCCGGCTGGGGCAGCGGCGAGGAGGGCGGACGTACGGGGCTAAGGGCTTTCCGTTACTAATCACCCCGTCGGTCACGCGGTGCATCGCTGACCAGGGCCTCTAAAGACCCGAAATCTGTCCTGCGGACGGGCTCCAGCTCCAGGCTCTCACTCACTCACACTGTCCAGCCACAGCACAGCCCGGGCCGGAGGCTGCGGGTGGGGTTCAGGTGGAACGGAGCCAGCACGCCCTGCTCTGAAGACGTGGCTGTCCCACGCCTTCCTGACAGCCCGCAGCGGCCAGAAGCACCCAGTGACATTAGCTTGTATTTTCTCTCTCTCTCTCTCACACACACACACATACACACACACACACACACACACACAAAGGGCTTTGAAAGCTCAGGGCGCATTTCAAGCTCCAGGCTCCGTGTCCAACACTGAGGCAAAGACCCAAAGCCTGTTCTGCAGACACCAGCCTTTCTGGGGCCTGAGCAGAATTCAGCCCCCCGGAGTTCGGGAACCGAGGGGTGCCCACCTGGGGCGCTCACTGACACACCACCTGGTTGGCACTGCACTTGCTGTGAGTAAAGGAGACGGGTTCCCACCCGAGCGCTGTCTCCAGAGAAGGAGGCTCCGTGGCTTCTAACGCCTGCGGGTTAACTGCACATCGGCCTCACTGGCTACGCGTACAGGGCTGGGTTCCCCTCGGGCTCACCCCGCTCACAGCCCACTGCCCAGCACTGCGCCACCTTTCAACAGGTAGCAGGCGCAGCACGGAGTCAGCACGGCCCAGACCTTGAGACCCTGGTCCATCGGACACCAGGACGGAGAGCTGGGCCTCAGGGTGGGCAGGCACCTTCACTAAGGAACACGCAGCCTCGGCGGACAGGCTTCCCGGGACACCTAGCAACAGGCCAGCCCTTCATCAGGCCTCCCCCCGCACTCCCTGAGGAATGGAGACGCCCAGGGGGGCCGTCAGCACCGCCCATGCTCCCACAGCTCCAGGACAGGGTCCAGGCCTGGGCTGGCCCCGCCCACCGGTCTCCTCTCCCCTGGCTCTGGAGGAGTGAGGACCAGGGACAGGAGCCAGTCAGAGAAAGACAGGGTCTCACTCATGTGCGGAATCTAATGAACAAAATAAACTGATGAGCAAAGTAGATCCAGAGGCACAGAGGCCTGGAGCAGACTGGACCCCAGAGGGCCGGGGGGGGGGGAAGCGGGGAGAGATCGACGAGAGAACTGTGTGCATCTGTGCAGGACCCAGGGACACAGGCAGGAGGGTGGCGGGGGGAGGGAGGGCCGGTAGAGGTCAATGGGGGACAGAGGGCGACATATGTAATACTTTCAACAATAAAGATATTTTTAGAAAGGACCACGGGCCGGCCGGCTCAGTCCCTCCTCCCTGTGTCTGCGGCTGTGCAGGGCCGGCTCGGTGCTCCTCACCCCCAGCCGGGGCTGCAGTCAGACCGGCCCGCCTCCCAGTGCTCCGCCCCACAGCACTGTAGGGAGCACAGTCACGTCCCCTCTTCTCCCTCACCCCTCTCTGCTCTGGGAGACACGGCGTGTCCCCTGGTGAAGCCGGCATGTGGCTTTGGGAAGTCCACTCTGCCCCCTGCCCGCCCCCACCACACAGTCGGGTGGGGACTTGTCCTGGGGGCACAGTCTCAAAACCACGCAGCTCACATCAGACCAGACAGAAGCCCACAGCCTGCAGACCCACAGCAGGAAAGAGACGGAACCATCGGGTTTCCCAGCACCATCCCCATGGGCCCTTCTTTCCCAAGACCCGCCTCTCATCTCCGCAACCGGCAGGTATTCCCCTTTCCCAGACACCCCGGGGGCACGCAGTGCGGTGCTGCTGCCCAGGGGAGCGGGGGCCAGGCCCATCCCTACCCATGAAGCCCCTGTGCCTGTCGGCCAGTCCCCGGGCAGGACACGTCTAGACCCCTCTGCACCCCAAGCTGGGGGCACCGTCCTGACCACAGGGCCCTTTCCCCGAGGACCTGCGGGCACACCTGGGCAGAACTGGGGCGTCTTGGGGGAGAAGAGCAGCTGCGCCCCTTCTGGGGCAGAGCTCCCCAGGAGTCCCAGGCCTGCAGGGGCAGCGGTTTCCATGGGAACCACTGCGTTTCTCAAGCCCGGGATGCAGATGCAAGGAAAGGCACTAGTGTGTGTGCAGGGCCGACACCTCTCTGCTGGTCCAACAGCGATTGCCCCGCACACCCCGCAGGCAGGTGCGATCAGAACCAACATGTTTTTAAAATACGCAAGACTCCGGGAGGAGAGGGAGCGAGTGGCGAGACACTAGACAACTTTGCAGAGCCGAGCGGGCTGGGGAAGCAGCTCATGCAAAACAGAAGCAGTGCAGCAGCCAGCTCCGGTCCCACGCTGCAGACACTCATTTGCTATGAATACTGTGAAAGCAAGTGAATACATATATTCAAATTTTTTTATGTTGTATGTGATACATACAAAATATATGCAGTGTATCCATAAGTTATGAGGTGTAATCACCAAATGAACACTGTGAGCCTGGTCCCAGTACCGCGGGGCCACTCCCTCTAGATCTGTCTCCAGGCCAAACACTTGGACCCCCAGAGCCCCAGAGGTGGCCAGTGTCCTCAATATGTATATACACACACACACACATACACACACACACACATACACACACACATACACACACACACACACATATATATACACACACACACACACATATATATACACACACACACACATATATATACACACACACACACACACACACACACACACATATATATATCCTCACCCAAGGATATGTTTTCGTTGTTAATCCTCACCGGAGGATATTTTTTCCATTGACCCTTAGGGAGTGGAAGGGAGGGGTGGATACAGAGAGAAACATCGATGAGAGAGAGACATATGGATTGGCTGCCTCCCACAGGCTCCCCGCCCAGGGCTGGGCATTGAACCTGCAACCCAGGTACCTTCCCTTGACTGGAATCGAACCTGGACCCTTCAGTCCAAGGGGCCAGCACTCTAACCACTGAACTCACAACCTTGGAGTGCAGGGTGACACTCCAACCCACTGAGCTACCCAGCCAGGGTCCTCACACATGTTTCTGATTAGTTTTATTTTCACCCACAGTCTCACCAGGAGCTTCCTACAGTCTACTGTTGGTAGGTACACAGTTTTGTTGTTGTATAAAGTGTCTTTTGTCCTGAGAAGGTTTCAGACCGGAGCCCCTCCCTTTGGTCACTGTGGCCACAATAAAGGCTTTCTCCTCCCCTTCTTAGCCATGTTCTCAAAGTTTCCCTGGCTGAGGAGGCCTCTTTGTGGAAGGGAAGACCATTTTTCCAACAACATATGGATTTAAAAGGTGCAGATACTTTGACTGTAAAACATGTCCTCAGCCCACTATTCCCGGGAGGACGCTCTATCTCAGTGATGGCGAGCCTTTTGAGCTCGGCGTGTCAGCATTTTGAAAAACCCTAACTTAACTCTGGTGCCGTGTCTGTCACATAGAGAAATTTTTTGATATTTGCAACCGTAGTAAAACAAAGACTTATATTTCTGATGTTTATTTTATATATTTAAATGCCATTTAACAAAGAAAAATCAACCAAAAAAAGAGTTTGCGTGTCACCTCTGACACGCGTGTCATAGGTTCGCCATCACTGCTCTAGCATTTACTGAGCACTTGCCCGGAGCAGGGGGCATCGTAAGCATTTTATGTTCATGAACTGAGTTGATCCTCCTAACGACACTGACCAGCAGGTATTACCTGCATCACTATCACCCGCATCATTTCTTGCAGGAGAAAAGCAAGGCCCAGAGAAGTGAGTCATTTCCCCGAGCGCAGGCACCGGGAAGGGGAGAGATTGCCAAGCCACCATGGTGCACCCCTCCCTCTGGGCCCCTAGTCACCTGTTTCCCAGGTGACGCCTCCCTTTCCATCCACTCCACTCAGCTTCTGGTTCAGGAGATCAGTCCCCTATACCCGTGGTCGGCAAACCGTGGCTCGCAAGCCACATGCGGCTCTTTGGCCCCTTCAGTGTGGTTCTTCCACAAAATACCATGTGCGGGCGCGCACGTACAGTGCGATTGAAACTTCGTGGTCCATGCACAGAAGTCAGTATTTTGTGGAAGAGCCACACTGAAGGGGCCAAAGAGCTGCATGTGGCTCACGAGCCGCGGTTTGCTGAGCCGCAGTTTGCCGACCACTGCACTACACCTTCCGAGCCTCTCCGTGGCCATTCTTTCCCTCCACTCACCCTCGATCCCACCCACACTTCCTGTCTGCCCCTCCCACGGAACTAGGGATTTCTTAAAGACGGGCCCTGGTTCAGCCCTCCATCTCCACCACTTAGCAAGGTGCCTGGCCCTTAGACCAGGCCAGATAAACGTGTCAGAATGAGCAAACCACTATGGACATATTATACTGATACGAGACCTGTAATTTCATCTATAGGACAAGTATGCTTTGATATGTAATACATGCTTTATTCCTGAAAGAACAGAAGATATACATTACCTTTAG